TATATATATATATATATATATGAAAACTGTGTCTGAACTTCCTAAAAACCTCAACCCTGGCTATGACAATAGACTCATTCGAACTTTAGAAACAAGTACATAGCAAATGAGTAAAAATCCTGCCTTTCACTCTGTCTTAAGTCTGTCTGCACATGTGCTCTTGTAAAAAACAAAACCAAAAAACCAAAAACTGTCAGAATACTGGTTGAGCAGATAAATGGCCAAAAAAAAAATCTGGCAAAGCAGAAGAAGCAAGCAAACAAGTGGGGGAAGGGAGGGAAAAAATGAGAGGGGAACGGGAGGCGAGGCGAGAGGAGACGCAGCAACAATAGGAAGGAGAGAGGGAGCGAGCAGTAATCAGCAGATCAGAGAGGAGTACACAAGCGGAGAGGAGGGAGATTATGTGGAAGAGTGTGATCAGTGAGTGAGGAGGGAAAGGCTGTCTCAAGGCACGAGCGGAAAAAAAATTCAAGAAATTCTCCCAGCAAGAATCAGAGATCCTCCAGTGAGAGGGCAATTAAAATGAATCAATTGCTTTCCTTTCTGCCTCCGATTATTACAAAGAGGGTCGTCACCTCAAAGCTGCAGCTTAGTTTCACTTTCGGAGGCAAATTCAAATCTTCAGCTTCACCTAACGATGCCAGACACTCTCCTCCGGGTTTCTGCTCCTATCACTCAGGCTTTTGGCTCTCTCAGTTTCCCCCAGAACAATGAGGGACTGAGCATTTATTATTTATTGGAAAAGATGTTTGTGTTCTTTCGAAAGCAGTCTGTGCGCGAGAGCAATGTGAACGTACGATTCGGAGTCGAATGGAGGGAGGGTGTGTGGCACAGGTGTAGGCCTGTGCGATTTCATCACTCTGCATGCAAATTTTGACCGAGGACGGCAGCGGCGACAGAAGACGGAGAGGGACACAGAGCGGGAGGAGAGGGATGAGGCGTGTGCAGGAAATGGATCGAGTGAGGAAGCGAGAGGGAAGAAGAGGGAGAGTGGGATGATAGAGCTGCAGGCTCGCTGTTTGTGCATGCATCTGCAGGCAAATTAATCACGAGATGGTCTTCTACTCCATTAAAATGCTAATGTAGGAAAATCTAGACATTTCCATATATTTGCAATATATCCCAGAGCCCAAAGAGTCTTATTATGCTAAGTGCAGACTGGGTGCTGGATATAGATGTAATGCAACGACAAATCTAAGCGAGATAAAGGCGAGATTAAAAGTTGGGTATGTAGAGAATTAAAGGGACGACAGGGCACATAACACTGGGCATTATGAATGTTGGAGAACATTCTGGATATTTGAAACTGAAGGGCTTAAAAAAGCTGTTTTGTTTTCTGTCACAGTTGAAATAAATATTATTTTATATAAGTGACTAATGAACTTGTACTTTACTTACTAATCTAAGAGAGCCATTATCTTATAATGTCACACAGACACACAAACACATATCACAATTTAGCCAAATCTGATTCAAATTCTGACAGTTGGCGGGTTTGTTATCGCAGCCAGTGTCAACAAAGAAGTGATCAAGCCACACCAGCACAGCCCGATGAAGCCGAACAGGGATGTTGCTGTCCGCTACATCTGTAAATAATCCTTCAGAATGATTCATTTCCAAGCTTGCATACTTATTCCACCACTGTGATCTCCTCTGTGCACAGAATTAGCTGCTATGCAAACTAAGAACAAAAACATTTGATTCAAAGCTCTCTTACACGTTAACGATCCTCAACGCTCGAGAGCTGCGTGTCGCCACATGGCAAACAAGCTGAGTTTTGTTAGGAAGCCCGAGATGTGACGGTGTGAAGCGCGCCGTGTGCAGGACGGTTTTCACAGCAGTGCAACAGAGCGACGGCTCGGCTGAGCAAACACAGTGCGGCCGACATACAGCGCTGCGGTGTTGATTGTTTATATCCACATTAGTGCTACAGTTAGAAATATAAATGTACAAAATGAATAAAAGTGCAATTCATAATGTGGCAGCGTCGCTCGAGCCACCTGACACAAATTCCAACAGAGTGGCCTATGTGACAATATAATAATAATAAAGAGAACTGGACTGACATTTATACAGCCGCACACATTCAACACATATTTTATCATCAGGTATGCCCGTTTAAATGCTTGTAAACTCAAATATCCCACCAGCCGATCACATGGCAGTAATTCTATGCATTGAGGCAGTTCTGAAGGCAAAAGGAGCTCCAACCCTGTGCTGGTCAGGTGGCCAGTGAATGTGTGTGCATCTATTTTTCTTTTTTTTAATCTCGTGTTAGTCACCAGTCACAGTGTTTTCAACTATATAGTATCATCAACATTTAAGACTCCATGGCAAACCTCTCAGCAAATAGGTGCTTTACTTGTGGTCTCGATTATGGACTGTATATCAAAGATGGGTGTGGCCTCCAGGTCTAAAAAGGTAAAGTGTGAGGAAGTGCATTAAACCTGTGGTCTTTGTTTGCTCCACATGGTTTACAGTGTCTTATTTTCCTTGACATCAAGTGTGATTGGATCATTTCTAAACTGGTCCTGCCTTTCCAAACAACTTCCCCCCCAGAGGAGAAGTTGTTTTTCTTTGTTGACAAAGACATCAATACATTTCATCGTATGTTTTTATCCTCGTGCTTAGTTTTATCTAGTTGTTATCTTGTTTTTGTCACAAAAAAGAAAGTTGTCGATGAAACCTATGATTAAAAGCTATTGATCAATGAAATTAACACTGCTAAATCATGCTGTACACCATGGATGAACTCTGGAGCCTGATGAGTTCATCGTCAGTCGCTGGTTTTTAAGTCTTAATTCAGCAGCAGCTTAATTCAAGCTCACTTTGTAAATTTCATAAAGCAGGGTATGATTTTCACTATTGTATAGCCGTGCTTTGACCGTGATTTACAATACAACTTTATTTATATACCACATTTGATTTGTCAGCTGGATCCACCCACAAAGGAGGATTTCAGCCAAAATGCTCAACCCATGACCCCATAAACTAATGACGTAAATAGTGGCTATGTTCATCTTCCATAAGCTTTCTGTGGTCTCTACCAGCTACTGAGAGTAGTAACTGGTTCACTGGGCTGCTGAATGCTTTACCATCTCCCCAGCTAGTTACCAGTTTGGTTTGCCTGTTATTTAGAGCTGAGCCGCCTGTGTACAGTGGATTTATAGGGCTTTGTTTGTTGAAAACAGATGCCTGAGTGTTTGAGCCAAAACAGTAAAGCGGAGGGCCAGAAAGATAAACTGCTCCTGTAGATTCTAAAAGGTTTGCTTTCATATTGTCAGCTGATACAAAAATAAAAACATATAGAAAATTAACACAAAACGTATTATTTGATTCATGTTGCAGTCACGTGTCACACAAAAGCCACACGTACACATGTCCTCACCTAGACTCGTGGGCTTGATGAGTTCGTCCAGCATGTCGTAGAAGGGCAGCCTCTGGAGCTTAACATCTGGATGCACCGGATGCAGTGTCGCTGAGGAGGGCAGGTGGTGCGTCAGCCCGGTCAGCTCGTGTTTCCCAGGACCGAGTAGCGAGAGCGGCAGTAACGCAGCAGGCGATGGGGCTCCACCGTGACCGGCGTGACCCTCGTAAGCCAGCTGCGTCAGGCCAGCAGGCAGCGCCGCGCCCCCTCCCCCGACCACTCCAGCTGTGGCCGGGTGGTGCGGCCCAGGCAAGGCCAGCTCTGAGTGAGAGACCATTTTGGCCGGGAAACGTCTTCGGTAGAGCTCTTTGATCTTCATGTGCACGGCGGGGCTGCAGCCGGCTTTCAGCAGATGCAGCGCCTTGGTCAGCAGCTCGTGCTTGCGTCCGTGCTTGTTGCGCCCGGCGTAGCCCAGCAGCACCTGGAGCTCCGACACCCGCAGGCTCATCACCATTTGCTGTGGTGGAGGAAGGGGTGAGAAAGACGATGAGCAATCAACTTTCAAGTTTCAATACCAAATATCTAAAGTAAGTAGTTAAAGCATGTTGTCATTTTTTGCCTGTGGCTTTACAAAAAGTAACAAAAACTGAGCTGCTGTGCAGCATTTAGCGTCAAACGCTCCATCGACCCTTTGAATTCAGCTTAACTGACTGGACTCTCGCTAACACGGTTGCCTTACATAAAAAAGATCCCGGTTTGAGGCTGTGAGGAGATACAAACCCAGCCTTAGAGGGTTACAAGCCGGTCTAATCCTTGTGCTCGACCCAAGCCAGGATAAATGGATGGATTCTGTCGGGAAAGGCAACTGCCAAATCAAATATCTGGATCTATCCGCTGAGGCGACCCCTTGGGAAATAAGGGAGAAGCCTAACCTTAAATTGAATTGCCTAGATCACAGTTTGTTGTCTCATGATTACTTAACTTAAAAACAAAACAAAAAAATCTCCACAGAGAAGAGGATATCTAAATAAACCCTCTGCCAGTTTAACACTGACGCATTCCCACAGCAGCAGAGTTCTTACTGTGTCCGGTGCCGGAGTTGGGGGATCGCTTCCAGCTGAGAAACAGGGCCACAGTCTGGCCGACTTTTTGGTTCAAGAAAGGTTTATCAACGCATATACTATTGTATAACAGAAAATAAAAGCTATTTTGTATCAAAGATTAAAAAAAAAAAAAAAAAAAATCACTGCAAAGTTCCTTGTGTTGAACGGTGGTTTGGTCGAAAGACAAGTATCCACTTGGAGCAGAGTGTGTAAATTACACGCTCGATGCAACGCACCTGACAGAGCTACAGATTTATGAGAGGCCCGGGACTGTTTTTAACATGGGAGCAGTGTTACTGTCATTTTGCCTTGGATCGCTCGGGACTGCCCACGGAGAGAGGCGGACGAGGAAGCTGCTGCAGACGAAGACTTCTGGCTGATTTATATTTCTACGTGTTTACATTGTTTTTTAATACAGATCCAAATTTGAGCTGAGTCTGCACGCTGATGTACTGTAGCTTAGCACAGCTAACACTTTGCCTCACAGAATTTTAGAAAGAACACACACACACACGCACACACACACACTGGCACTGAGGTGCATACAATAAGTCAGAGCAGCTTAATTTCTAACCTGTGCATGAGAACAGCACCTGTCCAAGCGCTGCAGAAAACACTCACCCTGGGAAGCAGTGCACTGTACTGTCCATTTTTTTTTAATAAAAGAGAAATATAAGCATTAACCAACAAAGGAGTCTTTTACTAGCTCACAATGTGAGACTGAGGCTGTACCTCCCAGGGGGTAGCGCGATGGAGTAGGTGCAGGAAAGCATGGGGGAAAAAGTGCCATTCAGTTTAGCTTCAGAGCCAGCAGCACTAGCAGTTCGTCATCTAGCAAAACCGACTGTACAAATACTGAATAAGATTCTCACTGCCTTATAAATCCACGGGCTTTAACTTAAACTCTCAGCGAGTGTAACGAGTACATCCATAACCTGAGATAAATCCATCTTAAGTATCTGCAACTAGCAACAACTTCCTCGATGTGACAACCAGTGAGCTTGGAGGAACCTCAGTCACTTCAGTCTTTGTGTGTTTGAGGCTTCGGCTCCTTCACACGAAACTCGAAGACACAAAGCAAGACTTTGTCAGATTGTTAAGAGCAAACAATGATCGGGGCAAAAGAGCTGAGCGCGTGCTCTTTAATCTAAAGATAAGGAGTGGGCGGATGAAGACGTTTAAATGAAACATCAGCTCATTAAGCAGCATCCATTATACATGAGGAAACCATATAGCACAATCCTTAAAGACACGCACACCTACAGGGTACACTAAGAGTGCCTTGGATAAACTTCCTCCCTTCATCTCCTTTAATGACAGAGGAGCTAAAAATGCACAAACACACACCCCTTAAATGACAAAGCGCACAGATCTGCTGGTGCCCAGTCTGTCAGCTTTGATTAAAGTAATCCACACACACACGCACACAGAGTCATTTTTAGTTTTATGTACAGAATCTGCATGCGTCTGCAAAGGTTTTGACACTTCAATATACAAGATTTAAATTAGCTTTTTATACTGATGCATATATATCGATGCAAACTTACCCCATGGTTCCACATTTAATAGACATTTAAAACGTCATACATGATCACTTTAGGCTACTTTTAAAACCTAACCACAGAGGGGACTTTTTACACATGAAAAACAAACAACAAACCTCAATTTGTACTGCGGAAATAGATTTTCTGTCCTTCCACCTAACCCACACAATCTAATTTATCTCCTCCACAGTAGTCCATCAGGAGGATTCGGAGACATGTTTCAACAACAAAGTAAATGCCATTAATAAAATCTGCTAATTGCATTTCGCAATCATCAGGAGGGGAACTGCCCCGTACCTAGAAAATTTTTGTTTCGCTTCCTCCGTGCAATCCTTCCCGACTTGACCAGAACGCTGCCAAAGTCGTGGCGTGAATGTTGAAGGTGAAAGAAGTGAAATCGGATTGCTCTTGAATATTATGTACATGTTAATCTCACTTCGTTTTTAGCACGGGGTGGCCCAGGTGTGAAAGCAACCTCTGGCTCTCATTCGACCACAGGACTGTAGTGCGTAATTAAAACAGACGCGCTATATTAACGGGAGTTTTGAACGGAACTGAAACCCCTGAAGTGTGACAGTTTACAGTAAATCTTCTTCCACTATTGCACACGAAGGTTTCAGAGCCTGCAAAAGGCAGCAAATCTAATTTCTACTTCAAACAGCAGGATGACACTATTTGAAACCAAACAAACATTTTCTGATAAAATGAGAGGCAAAACAAGTCAGGAGTTGTGTTGTGCAAAATCTTCGTCTAAATCAAATCCTTTCTAGTATAAAAGCAGCAGCAGCTAATGACAGCTGGACTTCAACCTATGACCCACTAACTCCAAGCCCTCAAAGCAGACACCTGTTCAGGTCCTTTGTTAATTTGTCCCTCAGTGTCAGGAATTCAAGGCTGCAGTTCTGCTGTAACGTCCATAGATGTCTGAGGGACAGCATCTACTTGAGGTGACTGCTGTTGTCATCTGGCACTATATGAATAAAAGTGAATTGAATCTGCTGCAAATGATCTCAGTGGTGGCACAGTTTTGTTGCCCAAAACAATGCAATCTCTGCTCACCATCTGCCCTGCTCGCCAGGTTTGCTTTTTGCTTTTGTCCTCTTTCCGAAAGTAAAAATTGAACTTGATTTCCACGAAACTGGGCAGCAGCACTTCCAGGAAGCTAAAAATCTAAAAATAGCAAAAGAACTAGAAGTGGAGCAGAGACTAATGACAAATCGGATATGGTTTGCCTTTTTTTCCCCCCTTCAGGTGTGCAGAACTTTTTGAATAAGCACTATGCCGTATATCTATGAACAACTACATCAATATTTATACTACTCGATAATGTATTTGGCCTGTAATATGTCAGTTAGTATATTAAAAAAATGCACCAGTATGTCTTTTAATGTTGTTTGTAATTTAAACAAACACATATCCAGCCACTTTATTAGGTATACCTGCTCAACTGCTCTTTAATCTCAATGTCTAATCAGTGAGTCACATGGAAGCATTTGGAAGCTGGCAAATCTGCAGCAACTGTGTGATGCTGTCATCTCAATATGCAGCCAAATCTCTGTTTCCAGCACCTTGTTGATTCTGGTACAAGCAAGGTGTACTTAATGAAGTGGTTGGTTAGTGCATTTCACGTAGTGCCAGAAGTTACCAAATATTTAGATTTAAAACTACTGAATTAGAACTTTGAGCCAATCCTGATTAGGAATTTACTGAAACAACAACCTGATTATCAATTTTGTTACAAGTGAATTGAAGTTGACTGTCACAAGGTTCTTAAAAGTTAGTGTTTTGCGATGACCCAGTTTATGGGGGTTGTTTAGTGCCTGCAGGAAAAGGAAACCATTTTACACAACCTGGGCTCCAAAGTGACAGAGCACAGGCTGCTGTTTACAGACCAAACACTGCATCTTGTGTACAGCTGCCACATATGCATAACCATGCACATCCGCGTTCATTTGTGTTTCGCGAGCACTGATTTACATTCGTTTCTTTCTTCCCTTAACTCTAACCACTGCTTGCCTAACGCTAACCACACAGCAGGTCTGCACCCTAAATCGGATGATTTACGTTACGGGGACTTTCTTTTTGTTCCCCAAAATAAAAGGTGAGTCCCCACCGTGTAAATAAGGCGTGCAAACAAATTTTACCAGTCAGAATATAGATCTGTCCTTTGTTGCTGCACAGAGTCAAGGCAGAAAACAGAAGGCAGACGACCATATGTGAATGTAATTCTGATGCCTCTGGTCTGAAGTGCACTGCAGTTATAAAAACACATCAGTCAAAGACAGACGGCTACTACAGCAGAAAGCTCAATCACAGGTGCAGCACACAGCCAGCAGCTGTCTCTTGATGGATTTTTCAAAATCTAGATGTCTTTAAAAAAACTAAAAACTAAAAAAACCACACAAAAAAATCCCAGAACAACCATTTGGATTTGAATCCAGTATCATTTCTTTCAGTATCCTGAGACAGACAGATATCGGGAGACCCGCAGTTTATTGGTTCGATCCAGCAGCTCTCCTGCTGGCGACACAAACGACCACTTCAATGAAATATGCATGTGCACGACAAGTGGGGGGAGGGGGGAGGTGGAAAAAAAGGACACCGGCCGCCCACTATTTCATACCCACATGCTAAGCCCCCTACCGCCACTAAGCCCCGCCTCCACCCTCTCTCACTTCAACGCAAACACACACAAAAGACAGGCAAATACGGACAAGAACAAACATCACCTAACATAAACTGACACACACACACAAACTTCCAACACACTGCGGATGTGTAGCATTCCTCTAGCTCCCAAACGAGAGTGAGAGGGAAAGAGAGAGAGACAGAGAGAAAGAGAACAAACAGAGGAGAGAAAACACTGGCTG